TCAAGTGAACAGCTCAATGCAGAAGATGTTTTCTTAGCCCAGCTCGATTCCCACGTCTTCCTGAGACAGTCTGATCCCATACCTCCTGTTTCCACAGCCTATGAAATACTCCTTAATGAGCCTTTTCCAGTCTAGCCTGCTAAAAATTTCCCATTTTCCATAGATTATTGCAACATTATTTATAGCAGGAGCAGGTGCTCTCAACAATATCTCCCTGCTGAGCAGATGTCTTATTTCTTTTATGATACAGGCAAAGGCAGCTGTCAGAGCCCTAATCCTGCTCTTGGTCTCTTTGCACCTCAGGAAGTGAAGTGCCACACATGAGAAACTACCTGTGCGATAAACGGAGCCAGACGAACACCACGCTTTCTGGTCAGTTTGTTTTCAAGTCACACATTTTCCTCAAGGGCAGAGGAGGACAGGCAAGTTCAACAAAGCCAACTTCTTTGCAAGAAAAATGAAAGCACACTATAATAAAATTTTAGGTCAATTAAAATGTTTTCACTGTGCTGGAAAGGAAACATTTACTTTCAAGTTGCTTAACCTCCTGATTACGTAAAATCCAACTGGAGAACACTGCTTTGGAACAAAAATTTTACAGAAGTACAGGAAAACAAAACTCAACAGTTTTTGATGTTGAAGAAAAACACTGGCATTTGCCAGTGAGACATCCCAGTACTCCACTCTGCAGCCAGCAGACAACCAGTAGAGCTGGGTTATGGTATCTGATGCTATGATTCTATGATGGTGCAAGATATTCACACATTTTGGATGTTAAGCCATGAACAGAGTGACTTCAGATGCTGATACCTCAGTGGCAAGAAACAACTGCAAATAAACAAGACCAAACTTTAAAGTTAAGTATATAAAGATTATAAAGCTCTTGTGGTACTAAGCACAAGTGAACCTGCAGTGCATCGTGAGTAGCCAGGGTTCTCAGCAGAAATCACAGACGTATTTTCAGTGCCAGTAATGAGAAGAAACAGTAGGTTAAGGAGTACAAAGATATTAAGATATTATTTTTGATGTGTGGGTTAACAAGGCATAGAGTATTAACCATCTATGGTCCTCATGGGCTGGCTCTGGGCTTCATCTCTGAGAGGAAGAGTAAGAAAGCACATAATTGCTGATCCCGGCAGGGAAGCAAAAGAAAAAGACCCACAACCACAGCAGAGCTAAGGGGGTCTCATATGTATGAGCTACTGTGCAATATAGCTTCTCTGCAGGGAGCCTGCACAATCCTAGAGCATAAACAGCAACAGCTGTTTGTACCCTCATCGTGCTCTGGGTAAGTGTGAAGTCTTTCTTATTCCTAGAAGAAATATTGAAAAGTGTATATACCCCTTTGTCTTCCCAGAACTTTCCAAGATTTTGATAGGCCACAGGTGGGAAAAAACAAGCAAAGAAACAAAAACCAAACCCCAACACAACCAAAACAACACAGTGTTGTTTAGGCTTTTATAAAACAACATATTCTACAAAACCCTCCAGATATTTTCTAAAATTTTGAAGTGAAAAACACAATTGTGTAGAACACAAAAGCCAGTACTGATGACCACCAGTACTTCCCAGCATTAACCAGTGACGTTCTAAACCAGAAACCCATGAGTATCTTGTGAGAAGACACCACAGTGAAGAATTTAGTTTGAAGTAAAATTAAAATACTATTCAATTTTAATCATTAATAATGTTAGGCTTGAATATGCTGAGTATGAGACAGAAATCCATCCCAGGATAGCGGGATCCTGGCTTTACAACTGAGACCTTTATAGACCCAGCTCAGCAATCCTCTGCTGTTTTCCCCAAGAAGCAAAGCAGTATTTGGCACTGATAGCTGCCAGGGCTTAATTGTTACCTTGCCCACATTACTTTAATATGAACCAAAGTCTGTGAAATTCATTCCTGTTACTGCATTCACACTGCAGCCACCATGTGCTCACAGTTTCTCCCTCTAGTATCTATTTAGTGAAATAAATTTTAAAACTCCATGGCTTGCTACTGTCTCTGAGTGCTTTCATTTGGGCAATTCCCCCATGGGCTACTGGCCTGGCATCTCGCTGAACAGGACAGTAATTACCCCATGCAGCCTGTCCAGTAGAAACAACCCCAACAGGGTAAAACCTGGGGCAAACAGTGGGTGCTCTCAGAATGAACCGGTACATCTTCCAGACGCAGCACTGGCTTCTCTGCTGGATACGTGCCCATCACATCATTCCCAGCCAGACACTTAGCTGCAGGGACTGGCCCCAAGGAGGGACTGTGTGATTAACTGAAAAAGTCTTCAATCTTGTTAATACCTTTTCACATCCCCTCCAGAAGTAGGACCCCAGCAAATTATCGCCATGGGAAGATTCAGCTTTGGGCAACTCTTGGCAGGATACCTCTGCAAGAACTTCCTGTCAAAGCAAAACAACCACCAGATGTCATTGTAGGATAAATTATTATAAAAATTTGTATTGCTATTCAAAGAGCACAAAACAAGCTCAGATTATTTCACCGCAGCGAGCATGAGATGGTGGAGTTCAGGATCTTGTGCAGTAGGAACAGAATACCAAGCAGGATCACAACTCTGGACTTCAGCAGGGCCAACTTTGGCCTTTTCAAGCAATTGCTAGGGGAAATTCCAGGGGGCAGGGTACTAGAAGGTAAAGGGGCCCAAGATAGTTGGTTTATATTCAAGGACCACTTCCTCCAAGCTCAAGATCAGAGCATCCCAACAGGTAGGAAATCGAGAATGGAAGCCAGGAGACCCACATGGTTAAACAGGGAACTGCTGGGCAAACTCAAGTGGAAGAAGAGAGTCTACAGATCATGGAAGGAGGGGATGGCCACCTGGAAGGAATACAGGACTGTTGTCAGAGGATGTAGGGAGGCAACTAGGAAAGCTAAGGCCTTGGAATTAAACCTTGCAAGGGAGGTGAAGGACAACAGAAAGGGCTTCTTCAAATATATTGAACTGCTTGAAGGAGTCCAGTGCAGAGCCACAAAGATGATTAAGGGAGTGGAGCATCTCCTGATGAGGAACGGCTGAGGGAGCTGGGTCTCTTTAGCTTGGAGAAGAGGAGACTGAGGGGTGACCTCATTAATGTTTATAAATTTGTAAAGGGCGAGTGTCAGGAGGAAGGAGCCAGGCTCTTCTCTCTGATGTCCAATGACAGGACAAGGGGCAATGGGAGCAATCTGGAGCATAGGAGGTTCAACCTGAACATAAGGACAAACTTTTTCACTGTGAGGGTGCCAGAGCATGGCCCAGGCTGCCCAGAGAGGTTGTGGAGTCTCCTTCTCTGCAGACATTCAAAACCCACCTGGACGTGTTCCTGTGTGACCTGGTCTGGTGATCCTGCTCTGGCAGGGGTTGGACTGGATGAGCTTTCAAGGCCCCTTCCAACTCCTCATATTCTGTGATTCTGTGTGATTCTGTGATAAAATTGTCAGTCACCTTCAACATCATCTAAACAGTCATACTAAACCAGTCACTGCATAGATTTTTGTAAGTATGAATGAATCTTTATTCATCAGATTTGTATGACAGAGCAA